GATCCTCATGACCTGAACTCCTCCCATTAGGCCTCACCTCCCAGCACTGCCCCAGTGACAACCGAATTCCTATGTGAGTTTGGGGTAAGGAAGGGCAGACATTCAAATTGTAGCATAGCGTGTGACCCTCATCTTTATGTTCTAGGATGGTGACCGGAGCAATATAGCAAGACCTCACCACATCTCTACAAAAACTCAAAATATTAGCCGGCATGGTAGCGTGGGCCTGTAGTCACAGCTACTTGGGGCCTAATGTGGAAGGGTTGAGGCTGTAGTGAGCTGTCATCGTGCTACTGCACTCCAGCCTCGGCCTCCCAAAGTGCTAGGATTACAGACTTGAGCCATTGTTCCTGGCCGAGTGGCTCTCTCTTTGAGCCTCATATGAGGAACAGTGTTACTCCTCTCTGGAGGATGCAGCACTCAAGGTGCCACTTGGAAAAGTCCCGCCCCTGCTGTCTAGGACTTCCCAGGCCCCCAAAACCACAGGAGCCAATGCATATCTGTTCATTATCACCTACCCAGTCTCGGGAATTCTGTCATAGCAGCACCAAATGGACCAAGACACCTTAGTGAGCTGGAAGGAGCCTGGGTCTCTGAGAATTCTGTGGAGTACAGTTGTCATATATATTCTGGATCTTGCATAAAAAAGAAATAAGCTTCTACCGTGTTCAGCCAGTACAGGTTGGATACCTCTAATCTGAATATCCACAAAGCTCCAAAATCTGAAACTTTTAGAGTGCTGACATGGCGCTCAAAGGAAATGCTCTTTGGAGCATATTAGATTTGGGGTGTTGACCCAGTAAGTATAATGCAAATACTCCAAAATAAAAATAAAAATATCCAAAATTCAAAATACTTCTGGTCTCAAGCATTTTGGATAAGGGAAGCCAACATGTAACATCAGTGATACTTAATCCTGATAAAGCATCTATTAAAAGTGATAACAGGGCAACCCTATTGGGGGGTCCCCTCCCACTGTGGGAGTTTTTCTGTCCTCTCAGTAAATCCTGCTTTCTCACCAAAAAAAAAAAAAAAGTGATAACATAGTTGGGCGTGGTGGCTCAAGTCTATAATTCCAGCACTTTGGGAGGCTGAGGCGAAAGGACTGCCTGAGCCTATGGCTTCGAGACCAGCCTGGGCAACACAATGCGACCTCATCTCTACAATAAGTCAACAAATTAGCCGGGCATGGTAGTGCACACCCATAGATCCGGCTACTTGAAAGGCTGAGGCGGAAGGATTGCTGGAGCCCATCAGGTCGATGCTGGGGTGACCGTGAGTGTACAGACGACGGAGTGACTCCGAGTCAAAAAAAAAAAAAAGTGTTAATAGAGATTGAGCTGCTTATGATCTTTCTATACAAAGAACCTCTTAAAATTTACATTAAAAGAAAATCATACCCCCATTGAAAGAAGCTAGACACAAAAGAGTATACGTTGTACATTTCCACTTACCTAAAATCCTAGAAAATGCAGACTACAGTGTACAAAAGCAGATTAGTGTCTGCCTGGCTGGGGTGGGGGATGGGGTGGGTGGAAAGGACCCCCAGAGGGACGTGTGGAGCAGGAAGAAGGGAGTGTCCCGTATTGTGGTCGTGGCTTCCATGAGTGCACATTCACAACTGTCATAACCCACTTATGACATACTTCAAGTAGCTCCGGCTTAACTACATGCATTACACTTAAGGTTGGTTGTTTTGTTTTTTTTTTGAGTTGGAGTCTCACTCTGTCACCCAGACTGGAGGGCAGTGGCACGCTCCCGGCCACTGAAGCCTCGACCCGCTGGGCTCTGGTGATCCTTCCACCTCAGCCTTCCGAGTAGCCGGAATTACAGGCACACTCTACCACACCTGGTTGATTTTTTGATTTATTGTAGAGATGAGGTCTCACCAAGTTGCCCAGGCAGCTCTTGAACTCACGGGCTCAGGCAATTCACTCACCTTGGCCTCCCAAGGCGCGGGATTACAGGCTGAGCCACCGAGCCCGGCAAGATTGGTTTTTTAAAAAAAAGAATACATCCTGACGGATGCAGAGACTAATACAGCTAAGAGTTTGGGAAGGACCTTCTGAAGGTAGCAAGAGGCACACGTACAGGTGGCCACGCATAACGCCTTTGAATTCTCTTTTTATTGTATCCTTGTAGGAAGCTGCTCTCATATTTCTTCCTAGTAAGTCAAATGCCCCGTGATGTTTGCTACAAAGAAGACAACGTACATTTTAAAAAACTGGCTAATAAGGAGATGACAAAAGGTTGTTAACATGAGAAAAGTAAAACAAGTCAAACCACTTGAACAGTGAGCTTCAGGTTTTGTTATAAAAAGGGAATATACAAATTTTTATAACTAAAAAGATCGGAAGCGTACATAACAAACATTAACAGAGGCTATTTTGGGAGGTAGGATTGTCAGTGATTTTCACTTTCTTCTTTACACCTTTCTGTTGTGTGAAACACAATGAATATGACCCCTTTTATAATCAGGAAAAAGGGGCCAGGCATGGTGGCTCACACCCATAATCCTACCACTTTGATAGGCCAAGGCAGGAGGATTGCTTGAGACCAGGATTTCGAGAACAGCCTGTGCAACACAGCAAAACCTCATCTCTACCAAAAAAAAAAATTAGCTGGGTGTAATGGCACGCATCTGTAGTACTCAGGAGGCTGAGGCAGGAGGATCGCCTGAGCTCAGAAGCCAAAGGCTGCGGTAACTTACCACTGCATTCCAGCCTAGGTGACAGAGTGAGATTCCTACTCAAAAAATAAAAAAGAGGGCAACCCCCTCAGGTCCCCTCGCATTGTGGCAGCTTTTTGGTCCCCTCAATAAATCCTGCTTTCAAAAAAATAAAAATTTTTAAAAATCAGGAAAAATCCCAAACTATTATTCATGTAATGAACAAAATATACGCCCACTCATCCCTGCTTTGGTAGGCTCTGGTGAGGGAGGGCTTCACGTTACTCACTGTGTCTGGATGCAAACCAGAAGTCAGGTTGTATCTAGTAACCAAAACACAGCGAGCTAAGAGTCTGGAGGACTGTGTCCACATTCTGCCTGTTCCACTGTGGGCCGCCCTCAAGTCATTCACTCTCTTTGGGTCTCGATCTCCTTATCTGTGGAACACGGCGGTGGGACTCAGTAATGGCCGTCTCTCCATTTTCAAAAATCTCAGTTCTGATGCAAGCGCACAGGGACGATGGTGACTGATCTTGTTTCAAAGGACGGAGGGCATGGGTAGGGGGAGGATGAACAAGGGGCACCAGCCCCCGTCTGCCTCCCCCCCACAAAGTCCCCTCCGTCAGGGTACAGGGCACACATTCGCTTGCAGGCTTCCTGCCAGCCTCCATGAGAAGCCATCCTGCATTCAGATGCGAGCCCAGCACGGGCTCCTGCCAGCAGCGGCCCTTCCAGAGCCCTTCACCTGCAATCCTTCTCCTCCAGCACCCCTGGTTCTGGGCAGGATGTCACAGCTTCTCCACTGACCGTCAAAACATCCAGCTACTGTTAAAAACAGTTTTGGAGCCGCTGAGAGCAGCGCTGAGCAATTAGGCATTCATGATGCCCCCTGCTGTCTAGTGGGCATTAGTTTAATGAGGGACTATTAAAAACACATAAGAATCTCAACCCACAAAAATAAACAGAGCAGTCAAAGCCCCATCTCACACATATAACTGGGCCTGCCTGTAACATAATGCAAAGGATGGCCCTGACTGGTGCTTGTAGGTGTGCAGAGCATGGCCGGGAGCACGGGCCTCCAATTGGCTGTGATTTTTAAAATGCTCACTGTGTGTCATGACCACACAGGTGCACGCAATATTAATTCTAGAAAGTGGCCTTAAATTAAGAAGAGAACAAAAGATGTAGAGTTTACAAGGAAGCGTGGAAAGGCATCCTTTGGACTTGTGTGTCCTCCGTACCCTTTTCATCTTTGCAATTCCCTCAAGATAAAGGCAGGTGGAGTGAGACTGCCTGTTCCCTCCTGGGTCCTCAAATTCCCAAAGAGCAGCTTTTTGCTGCAAAAGAGATGAGTCAGGAGGCCGGGCATGGTGGCTCACATCTATAATCCCAGCATTTTGGGAGGCCAAGGCGAGAGGATTGCTTGAGCCCAGGGGTTTGAGTCCAGCTTGGGCAACGCAGCGAGACCATGTCTCTACAAAAAAATTTTAAAAATTTAGCTGGGCATGGTGGCACACACCTGCAGTCCCAGCTACTCGGGAGACTGAGGCAGAAGGATCGCCTGGGCCCGGGAAGTCGAAGCTGTGGTGAGCCATGATTGTGCCACTGCACTGCAGCCTGGGTGAGAGTGAGACCCCAACTCCAAAAAAAGAAAAAAAAAAAAAAAAAGAGGGCTCAGCCTACTCCCAGGAGGTATTCACACCAAGATCTCTTTATGTTCCCCCTTTTTTTCTTTTGTGCAAGGCAGTAAAAGCAACTCTGACTCCGGGGGAAGGAGCAGGTAGCCACTGCTCCCCAGGCCAGGACAGAGAGAGGGACGGTGCTTAAGTCTTGGAAAGTCAGCGAACCGCAGTCAGCAGCCCAAGTGTGGCCACAGCGGCTGCTTCTCTCATTAGATCTTTTCCCTCTAGAGGGCAAAGACAAAACTATTCTTAGAATAGCAGCAGATTATTTCTTACTTGAACAAGAACAGTCAGCCAAACCAGCAGAGTGGCGTAATTCAGGGGGACAAGATCCTTCTCCTGCTCAGGAGAAATCCGGGAAGGAACAGAATCGTTGGCTCCTGGGTAGACCCCACAGATACGAATGCTCCGACTTCCCAAAGACCAGGCATCACATCTCTCCCACGTTCGCAAGGAAGAGCAAGCCTGAGACCCTGCACCACTCAAGAAACGCGGCGGCGATGCAGGCCGCGGTGAACGAGGCTCTCATTCATTAATCTTCAAGCTGCACTGCTGAACACAGGCCCATTATCAGGATAAGTGGCGATGTTAACATGCACCTGGAGGGACGAACTCCTCCCCCTGAACTGAAATCACAAGGCTGACGTTACCTTAAGAGCACCGCAGAGCTCGACGGTGTCTGCGTCATCGACCACCGTAATCCGGAAATTGGGGGTCTGTAGCAGTTCCTTGAAGAGAAGGCCATTCTCCATGACTTTGCTGCCTATTGAAAGGTTAGGAAGAGAGGAAATGAACAACAGCCTCTACTCTTAACTTGTATACCTAATACATGTAAACATAATGTTTCTTACTATAAAGGTAGCATGTGTTTGTGACAGAAAATTTGGAAAATACATAGGAGCAGAAATAGAAAATTAAAACATCCCCCATTTCCACTAGAGGAGACTACTTACAAGTGGACGTACAGTTGTTTTGTTTTTTTTTTTGAGTTGGAGTTCCACTCTGTCACCCAGACTGGAGTGCAGTGGCTGCTCCCGGCCACTGCAGTCTCAGTCTGCTGGGCTCTGGCGATTCTTCCACCTCAGCTTCCAAGTAGCTGGAACTACAGGCGCACGCTATCACGCCCAGTTAATTTTTTCATTTATTGTAGAGATGAGGTCTCGCCAAGTTGCCCAGCGGGTCTCAAGCCCACGGGCTCAGGCAATCCACTCACCTCAGTCTCTCAAAGCGCAGGATTACAGGCTGAGTCACCGAGCCCAGCTGGATGGACAGTTTTAACATATTGAGCACGAGCATGATTCGTTTTTCTCAAAACTGGGAGCATTGTGTGTATATGGTTTCGTAACCTGATTTTCCTAAATTCCAGGAGATGGAAGTGCAGTCAGAGGCTTGTTTCTGTTCTCATTGGCTTCCCAGTCTTGGGGACAGAGTCTGGGGCAAGATGGGTGTTCAGGAGTTTTCACACATTTATGATCATTTGTTTTGGAGACCTCTGATTACAAAATAAAATCAAACAGACAAACAAAAAATAAAACCTTACACATAAAACCTGAGATGAGACTGCTCTGGTTAGTGTGGTGCAGGGGGAAGCTAACCAAATCCACACTCCCCAGTTCTGGGAGCATAATCAGAGCCATGCCTGGCTCTCACACAGATATGGCAGAAAGACCATCTCTGTCTACCTCGAGGTGGGAGACACTGCCTCCAAGTTGATCTGCATAGAACAACCATCCAGGGAGCTTTAAAAGCACCAAAGCCCAGGCCACATCTCAGAGCTACGACCTCACATTCTCTGGAGTGGAGCAGGCGCTCACGGTTTCCGAAGTTCCCCAGCCGAGTCCAACAGGCAGACAAGAGTGCAGACCTCTGACCTCACCCTTCCAGCCTCAGCTTCCCATCCCAACACCATGGCACAGTCAGATATGAGTCACATGTGAAAATAGCCTTTAGGGCCGGGATCGGTGGCTCAGCCTGTAATCCCGCGCCTTTGGGAGGCTGAGGTGAGTGGATTGCCTGAGCCCGCGGGTTCGAGACCCGCCTGGGCAGCGAGACCCCATCTCTACAATAAATTTTTAAAAAAAATCAGCCGGGCTTGGTAGCGCATGCCTGTAATTCCGGCTACTTGGAAGACTGAGGCGGAAGAATCGCTGGAGCCCAGCAGGTCGACGCTGTGGTGGCCATGAGCGTGCCACTGCACTCCAGTCAGGGCGACAGAGTGAGACTCTGACTCAACAATATATAAATAAAATAAAAATAAATAAATAAAATAAAACCAGAGCCTGAAGTGATACAATGTCAGATAATCCAAGGGAGGGTAGAGAGAGAGTGAAGATACACACAAAATAAGATGAGCCAGGAGTCAACCATTTTTAAAGATGGGTAATGGGGACCTGGGACTATGAGACTGTGCCACCTGCTTTTGTTTTTGGAAATGCCCCATAATGAAACACCCTATCTACACACCTAATACACAGAAACGTAGCCCAGGCTGGAGTGCAGAGGCATGCTGATGGCCACTGCAGCCTCAACCTGCTGGGCTCGAGTCATCCTTCTGCCTCAGTTTCCCAAGTAGCCAGAACTATAGGTATACGCTACCACACCCAGCTAATTTTTTTGATTTATTGTAGAGACGAGGTCTCGCCATGTTGCCCAGGCTGGTCTTGAACCCGCGGGCTCAGGCAATCCACTCGCCTCAGCCTCCCAAAGTGTTGGGATTACAGGCTGAGCCACTGAGCCTGGTCCAGAAACACATTTTCTACGCTATAGGCCTCGTCTACTGTTATCTGTCATTTAGCTGAGTTCTCCTTTTCCAAATACTGGCACTGTGTCCGTTTGAGCAAACTGTCCTCTTTCTTCTTTAAACAGTCCACAGACGAGCTGGGTGAGTCCACACAACGCCGTTTCACCATCTGGGTTGGGTAAACCAGCCCTGCCCCCACATCATGAGACTTGGGCACCAGGTTTCCTCCCCACATGCCCCCTGCCAGATGCCCCAGAGCATCGAGCACAGGCCCGTCTCAAGTCACTTTAATCCTGCTGTCTGCAGCTGGAAACCTGAGCTGCAGCTGAGAATGGCAGGGGAGGGTGCATGCTGCAGGCCAAGGTCTATGGGTTTCTCTGTGGCTGCAAACAACGGTGTCCGTCGGAGAGGTGCGTCTGATTTATAGCAACTTCCCATTTTCTCAAATGTACCTTTTGTTTATATTTTTTACTTTATTTTAAAAATAGGGACAGGAGCCAGGAGTGGTGGCTCATACCTGTCATCCCAGCACTTTGGGAGGTGGAGGCGAGAGAATTGCCGAGTCCAGGGACTCAAGACCAGCCTGGACAACCTGGCAAGATCACCTCTACAATAAACCAAAAAACCATTAGCCAGGCGCAGTAGCCCACGCCTGTAGTTCCGCTACTTGGATGATTGAGGAAGAAGGATTGCCGGAGCCCAGCAGATCGATGCTGGGGTGGCCGTGAGTGTGCCACTGCACTCCAGCCCGGGTGACAGAGTGAGACTTCAACTCAAAAATAAAATAAAATGAAATAAAATTAGCCAGGTGTGGTGGCATGCGCCTGTAGTTCCAGCTACTTGGAAGGCTGAGGTAGAGGGATTGCCTGAGCCCAGCAAGTCGAGACTGCAGTAGCTGTGAGCATGCCACAGAACTCCAGCCTGGATGATGGCGTGAGACTCCAACAACAACAACAAAAAAATAAGGATGGGGTTTCACTATATTGCCGAGGCTGGTCTCAAACTCCTGAGATCAAGCAATCCTCCCGCCTCTGTCTCCCCAAGTACTGGGATTACAAGCCTGAGCCATGGTGCCTGGCCTAAATTTATTTTTAATCATGGATGAGAAAGCACGAACTTTATTATCATTACTAGTCATAAACAGTGCCGTGGCAAACAGGGCCTCGGGCCCTCTGTACAGGACCGGGAACACCCAACAAGCACGTGGAAAGGCTGCCCAACTCAGTATGTCCCAAAAGACAGGAAAACCTCTTTTCTCTGTCACATCGGGTTTTAGCGGCAACCAACTGACTTATTTAGCAAAATTCCTTCAGAACACTTATTTTAGTCTGTGATTCCCTATTTGTTTGTGTGCTTGGAAGCTCCAAGGATCTTATGTGTCCTTGACACTGGGCATCACGCCGGACAGATCATAGGCTTTGAAAGTATTTGTGGAATGACAAGTCTGAGGCTCTGGTATGTCCCAAGAAGGAAGGGAGCATTCACCACCAGGGGGCGACGTAGTTCACCATCACAGTATTTTTTTTTTTTTTTAAAGAAATAAAAGAATCTTTATTGTTTTAGAAGCAGTGTTGAGTAAACAGACAGGCAAATATCTAAAGAGAGATACCATACATCAACTAGTGGTTTAAACCTTTGAGGAAAAAACATGAAAAATATTTACAAGGACCAGTTTCTTTTTACAAATGTTAAACATCAAAAGCACCCAAAACCAAATAGGGGTTACCGTCAAGGTGTAAACCCAATGAAACAAATTTAAAAACTACAAAAGGTACAAAAAACATGTGGCCATAGGAAATAATAGTGTAAATAGCAGAATATAAACTGGCCCATGTAAAATACAAAAATATTCACTGAAGTCAGATTTTCTATAAAACAGTGCTTATTAGAGGTATTTTAATATGAATCAGGCATATAATCTAAACGTGGAAACTTTTAGAAACGTTAACAGCATTAAGCCAGTGCCACTCACTTGTGCTTCCAATTTTTTTTTTTTAAAGCTGCTTTGTTTTGACTCATGAGAAATATCTAAGGCCCACATTTTTTTAACTTTTAATTTTTTATTTTAAAGATGTGGGGGACAACTCAGGATTAGGTATACAAATGTTCATTATGCAGGTACTGTTGTTGATGAAGGCCCACATTCTTATAAGCAGTATCCATTCTCATAAGGTTAACATTTTTACACTAAAACACAGTTTAAATAAAAATAATTCTAAAAATCAGATTTCTATTTAGTCTTTAAGAAGTGTTTCAAGGTATTTTTTTAAAGATACTGAAACTAGCTGGGCTCGGTGGCTCAGCCTGTACTCCCGCGCCTTTGGGAGGCTGAGGTGAGAGGATTGCCTGAGCCCGCGGGTTCGAGACCCGCCTGGGCAGCGAGACCTCATCTCTACAATAAATCAAAAAATGAGCCGGGCGTGGTAGCACACGTCTGTAGTTCCAGCTACTTGGAAGGCAGAGGTGGAAGGATCACCTGAGCCCAGCAGGTTGATGCTGGGGTGGCCATGAGTGTGCCACTGCACTCCAGCCTGGGTGACAGAGTAAGATACTGACTCAAAAAAAAAAAAAGAAAAGAAAAGAAAAGGAACTTAACTTACGTGCATTTATCTATCTTTACAAACCAAGAAAGCCTAATGCACTCCAATGGAAACTTTTGTACAACAGGGGTACAGCAGGTAGATAAAAATCCTAGCCCACATCTGCAGGTCAGTACAAGGTTTAGATCAAGGGGTTGGAGATTGAGTCTCGGCCTTACAGAGTGATCAGGTAGCCAGTCACTTCCAGTCAACGGGGAAAGGATCGCTAGCAAATAGGGTTGAGTTGGAACAACTAGCTAATCACCTTTTTGGAAAAATAAAAGTAATTACGTAATAATTTCACAGGGTACATTAAAACTGCAGATGTCTATAAGAATTAATCATAAAAGAGTAAGACATATACGTGTACATATTTATGTGTATACCAATATACACATATATTTTTCTGGAAGGATAATTAGAACCAGCTCAGATGATTCCCTCTGGGAAGAAGAAATTGGATGGGAAATTATAATCTTAATTCTAAGTTTTCACCTCATAGTGCTTGACTTTTTTTTTTTTTTAAGCTGTGTTTGTACTATTTTCGTAAATGCCATCCTGGGAAAGTGGTATTGTAGGCTATCATTTTCTTCTTTATATTATTTGTTATACCTCTCCTCTTCAAAAAATATTCTTTTTTTTTTTTTTTTTTAGAAAGCAGCATTTATTAAGAGGACAGAAAAGCTCCCACAGTGGGAGGGGACCCAAGAGGGTTGCCCAAAAAATATTATTTCTCAAAAAAGAAAATTATAAGTGTCCAAATATATGAAATTGCCAATGACATACTATGCAGCCATGAAGATGTACAGTATGTTAACAGACTCTGAAAGTTGTTTGTTATGACTCAAGGGAATAAAGTAACTATAAAATGTCATGTAACTTACTACAAACATAATATTTGCACAATAGAAAAAGGAATATATAACAAAATAATAGGGCCAGATGCAGTGGCTCCTGCCTGTAATTCCAGCACTTTGAGAGGTCAAGGCAGATGGACTGCTTGAGCCTAGGAGTTCGTTACCAGCCTGGGCAACGTAGTGAAACCTCATGTCTACAAAAAAATTAAAAGATTAGTTGGGCATAGTCCCAGCTACCTGAGATGCTGAGACGGAAGGATCACCTGACCCCAGGAGGTCGAGGCTGCCGTGAGCCGTGATCGTTATGATCATGCCACCGCACTCCAGCCTGAGTGACAGAGTGAGACCCCATCTCAAAAAAGAAAAGAAAAAAAAAATCACACAAGAAAAATTAAGCCACATTTTAAAATGGTTTTCTTTTGATTACCTCTATTTTCCATTTTAAAAAGATGCAAAATACCTGTATAAATAAAAATAAAAATTAAGGGAGGGGGACTTAAAATGCCCTGTCTACAGGCATATAGACGCATCCAGAGCTGCACTTTCCTGTGCACCATCTCACACTGGGGGCCTGGCCCCCCCCGAGTTTCCTTTCTGATTCCATTGCCCATGGGTTTGACCAGGAGGGAGGTAAGCTGTGCAGTGGTAGATAAAACTTACACTTTTGCAAATAATACTCATACTCTTCCAACAATGCATCCTTTAATATGGCACACGGGCATTTGGAAATTCTCAAAGCCCCTTTTAAAAGAAATGAACATTGGCTGGGCTCGGTGGCTCAGTCTGTAATCCCAGAACTTTGGGAGGCTGAGGCGAGTGGACTGCTTGAGCCCACGAGTTGAGACCAGCCCAGGTAACTTGGCAAGACCTTGTCTCTACAATAAATAAAAATTTAGGCCGGGCTTGGTGACTCAGCCTGTAATCCTGCGCTTTGGGAGGCCGAGGTGAGTGAACTGCCTGAGCCCGCGGGTTCGAGACCCGCCTGGGCAACTTGGCGAGACCTCATCTCTACAATAAATCAAAAAAATTAGTTGGGCATGGTAGCGCGTGCCTGTAGTTCAAGCTACTTGGAAGGCTGAGGAAGAAGGATCGCCGGACCCTGCAGGTTGAGGCTGCGGTGGCTGGGAGCGGCCACCGCACTCCAGTCTGGGTGACAGAGTGAGACTCCAACTCAAAAAATAAATTAAATAAATAAATAAATAAATAAATAAATAGCCAGGCATGGTAGCACACCGCCTGTAGTTCCAGTTACTTGGAAGGCTGAGGCAGAAAGATGGCCGGAGCCCAGCAAGTTGACACTGGGGTGCCATGAGCGTACCACTGTACTCGAACATTTCACAACATCAGCATGGGAATGATGGCCCTAATCCACAATGTGTACAGGAAAAGCTTCCTGTTTCAGGAAGCAGGAGACCCAAATTCATGCCTGGGTTCTGTTCTACATCAGTGTGTGATGTTGGGCAGGTAATGTATCCTCCGATTCACCCAAAAATAGGTGTCATTCCCACCAATTTTTAGTTGTCATGAGACCTCAGTGAGGATCCAGTCACTAGCATCTCTGAGAAAAGAAAAGCTGGGTTGTTTTTTTTTTTTTTGAATTATTAGAGTCTCACTCTGTCACCCAGGCTGGAGTGCAGTGGCACACTCACAGCCACTGTAGCCTCGACCTGCTGGGCTCAAGGGATCCTTCCGCCTCAGCCTTCCAAGTAGCTGGAACTATAGGCACACGCCACCATGCCTCGCTAATTTTTTGATTTTTTGATTGCAGAGATGAGGTCTCACCAAGTTGCCCAGGCTGGTCTTGAACCCGCGGACTCAGGCAATCCTCTCACCTTGGCCTCCCAAAGTGCTGGGATTATAGGCGTGAGCCACCGTGCCCAGTCAAAAGCTGGGTTTCTAAGGCCAGGGGACCCAGCCCTGGATACAGCCACCTGCTTCTCGGTATGAGCAACCTTGCACCTTAGAGTCTTGATGAATCATTCCTGGATCACGGAGAGTCAGAACGGTCTCCTTGGCTTCACATTCATTCTGGAGGTGGTGGAAATACTTCAGTGCCACAGAACAGCCTCCTTACATAAAAAAACTCCCACCCTGCTGAATGTCCACCTTAGGAACGTTAAGAGGTATAGGAAAGAGCCATTTAGAAAGCACCAGAAATGGAAAATATGCATCCAGCATCCGGGCCCGCGGCCCCTCCCAGGCACCCCTTACCGATGGTGGTCTCACAGAACTTCTCCGCAGCCACCTCGTTGGCAATGTTGGCGCCCATCAGCACACTGATGTCAATGCCCATCTTCTCTCGGATGATGTCAGAAATGAGCTTCAGCCCCTCAGGGCCCTCGTCTATGCCCTGCAAGGATGTCAAGAAGTCAGGAAAAAAGCCCGAGATACCTGTTTTATAACTCCTCTAGATTTAGACAGCCAGTGGCATCTGCAACTTGAAAAATATCTTCTAGCCGGGCTCGGTGACTCAGCCTGTAATCCCATGCTTTGGGAGGCTGAGGTGAGTGGATTGCCTGAGCCCATGGGTTCAAGACCCGCC